ACTATGCATGGATTTCAATCTTTTTTTGCATCCAAATAAACTCATACTAGCTTATTATAACAAATCTGAACAGCATCTAGTTTGAGGCACTAAGGAGAAGACATCAGTTCAAAAAAAAAAAAAAAAAACCCTACCAGAGCAATATGAATTTTGCTAAAATTGAAGCAAGGGCAAACATCCAATTCATAGTGAAGTTTGAATCCACTATGGAAGATCACTGATGCTTTACAAAAAGTTTACGGGGGCCGGGCGCGGGGGCTCACGCCTGTAATCCCAGCACTTTGGGAGGCCGAGGCAGGTGGATCACAAGGTCAGGAGATCGAGGCTATCCTGGCTAACACGGTGAAACCCCGTCTCTACTAAAAATACAAAAAATTAGCCAGGCATGGTGGCGGGCGCCTGTAGTTCCAGCTACTCAGGAGGCTGAGGCAGGAGAATGGCGTGAACCCGGGAGGCGGAGCTTGCAGTGAGCCACGACTGCTCCACTGCACTCCAGCCTGGGCGACAGAGCGAGACTCCGTCTCAAAAACATACACACACACACACACACAGTTTACGGGGACAATGCCCCAAAGAAATCAGCAGTTTATGAATGGATAACCTGTTTTAAGAAGGGCCAACATGACGCTGGAGATGCCCATAGCAGCGGACCATCCACATTAATTTTGGAGGAAAAAATTAATCTTGTCTGTGCTCTAACTGAACAAGAGCCAATGATTAATAGCAGAAACAACAGCCAACACCACAGACATCTCAACTGATTCAGCTTACACAGTTCTGACTAAAAAATTAAAGGTGAGCAAACTTTCCAATCAAAGGGTGCCAAAACTGTTGAACCCAGATTAGCTGCAGACAATAGCAGAGCTTTCAATGGAAACCTTAAGCAAGTGGGATCAAAATCCTGAAGTATTTCTCAAATAACTACAACAGGAGATGAAACACGGCTTTACCACTGTGACCTTAAAGACAAAGCACAATCAAAGCAATGGCTACCAAGAGGTGGAAGTGGGCCAGTGAAAGCAAAAGTGGACCAGTCAAGAGCAAAGGTCATGGCAACAATTTTTTTTGGCTCCTCAGGGTATTTTGCTTGTCAACTTTCTAGAGGGCCGAAGAACACTAATAAGTGTTTTGAGAGCGGGGCACAGTGGCTCACGCCTGTAATCCCAGCACTTTAGGAGGCTGAGGCAGGAGGACCACTTGAGTCCAGGAATTGAGACCAACCTGGGCAACATAGGGAGGTCCCGTTTCTGCCAAAAAAAAAAAGTATGATGGCACATGCCTGTAATCCCAGCTGCTTGGGAGGCTGAGGCAAGAGGATCGCTCGAGTCCAGGACTTCGAGTCCAGTGAGCTATGATCGTTCTACTGCACTCCAGCCTGGATGACCAATGAAAAAAAAAAAAAAAGGAAAGAAAGAAAGAGAGGCCAGGTGCAGTGGCTCACGTCTGTAATCCCAGCACTCTGGGAGGCCAAGGTGGGCAAATCACCTGAGGTCAGGAGTTCAAGAACAGCCTGGCCAACATGGTGAAACCCCGCCTCTACTGAAAATACCAAAAAAGTACCCAGGTGTGGTGGTGAGTGCCTGTAACCCCAGCTACTCAGAAGGCTGAGGCAGGAGAATCGCTTGAACCCGGGAGGCAGAGGTTGCAGTGAGCTGACATCGTGTCACTGCACTCCAGCCCGGGTGAAAAGAGCAAAGCTCCAATCTAAAAAAAAAAAAAAAAAAGTACGTGTGTGTGTTAGTTTTAAGAAAGTCAGCCAAAGCTTTAGCAGAAAAAGATCTACTCCACTATGAGCTCCTGCTCATTCCTCTCATCAAGCAAAGGCAATTTTCTAACAGTTTCCATGGGAAATCATTAGGCATCCACCTTACAGTCCTGATTTGATTCCTTCTACCTTCTTTTTGTTTCCTAGTCTTAAAAAATCTTTAATGGACACCCAGTTTTCTTGTAATAACAATGTAAAAAAACCTGCATTTACATGGTTAAATTCCTAGGACCCTCAGTTCTTTGGGGATGGACTAAATGGCTATTATCATTACTTACAAAAGTGTCTTGAACTTGATGAAGCTTATGCTGAGAAATAAAGTTTATATATCTTATTTTTATCTTTTTTTTTTTTTTTTTTGATATGAAGCCTTCACTCTGTCATCCAGGCTGGAGTGCGGTGGCGCAATCTCAGCTCACGGCAACCTCTGCCTCCCAGGTTCAAACGATTCTCCTGACTCAGCCTCCTGAGTAGCGGGATTACAGGTGTGAGCCACCTGCCCAGCTAAATTTTGTATTTTCAGTAGAGACGGGATTTCACTAGGTTGGCCAGGCTGGTCTTGAACTCCTGACCTCAAGTGATCTGCCTGCCTCAGCCTCCCAAAGTGCTGGTATTACAGGCTTGAGCTACTGCACCCAGCCTTTACTTTTATCTTTTAATTCCATTTTTCCAAGATCTTTTTAAAGTCCCCTCATATTTATACTCCAACTACTTTTGAATTTGAGAGAGTTGCTATAGCATAAAATGTAATGTCCCACACAGTGATAATTATTTTAAATTTAACACTAAAAACACACACACGTAAAACAAGACTAGCGTTCTTAACCATTAGGGAACATTGATAAGTAGTATTTTTTCATCAAAGGGATTTTTTTTTTAATTTTTAAGTCATGTATATTGTCTTCTTCTCCCCTTAAAAATGGTGGCATGTATTTTAAAAATTTACTAAGTAGCCACTCTCCATTCTGCATTAAGCTCAACATTTCTGAGAGTTACAAAGATAAATCAGACATGTGTCACTTTCAGTTTTAAAGGTCACATGAGACATTCATCAAACTAAATGGGTAGAAAGAGGTAAAGTGCCAAGAGAAGAAACAAAGGAGTGAGAAGTGAGGAGCTAATATAAAGGAGCTCAGCTGTGGGAGAAACGACTTCCAACCCCAGGTGAGGGGATTCTTATCAGACACGGCCTGAAAATGGAGTCCTACAGGGAAGGGACAAATAATCTCTCTGCATTTTGATATGTGATTATTCAATTATTCAACAAATTGTTCACAATTTCATGGGATAAAAATCAGATAAGCAAAACAAATACCTAATATACAATGTGTTAAATATAGTAATAAGCATGTGCATGATATTAATGAAGGGGGAGGGATGAATTTTCTTAGGGTAGTGGAGAGAGTAGGCAAGGGGGAGGAAGGAGGAGGAAAGGTGACTCGGGCAGGGCCTTGAGGATGAGCAGCAATTTGATGAAATAAAAGGATTATTTCAGGCAATGAGAGAAATGAGCAAGGGCATGGAGAAGTGAAAGCATATGGCATCTTTAGGGACTGACTGTTGGGGAGTTAGGGGATAACTGAAGATGGGAGTGAAAATGAGGCCAGGCCAGATCGTGAGCTTTATATCCTGTGCCAAGGAGTTTAGCTTCATTACAGTAGGTACAAAAGCTTTAGGCAAAGAATGATGTCACATAAGCACTATGAGACTCTTTCTAATATTAACATTTCTAAAGTTGCCACTGGCTGCAAAAACATATATGAGATCATTAATTCTAGGATTTCTAGAAATAACTCCAAAGGTCCCACTGGCCTACAGGCCATGAGTCCAGTTAAGAGCTCCCTGAAGGCAAGTACTATTTACTATTTATTTGTTTTTGATCTCCAGGACATAGGATATAGTGCAATCAATAGGAATCAGTTTGTGATTAGGAATGACAGAACAAATGATGGCTCCCAGGTTTCTGACCCGATTATCATGCCAATGAGAAGGATATAAGGTTGGTTTTTTTGTTTTGTTTTGAGATAGGGACTCACTCTGTAATCCAGACTGGAGTGCAGTGGCATGATCATGGTTCACTGCAACCTTGACCTCCTAGGCTCAAGCAATTCTCCCACCTCAGCCTCCCAAGGAGCTGGGATGACAGGTTCACATCACCATGCCTGGCTAATTTATTTTTATTTTTTGTAGAGACAAGGTCTCTCTGTTTTGCCCAGGCTGATCTCGAACCCCTGGGTTCATGCAATTCTGCCACTTCAGCCTCCCAAAGTGCTGGGATTACAGGCATGTGCCACCATGTCCAGCAAATATAAATTCTGTCTGGGAGATGTTAAAAGTTCTGCCCACAACAAGTTAAAACACGGGTGTGGGGTTCTGAAAAGAGGCCACAGCTATAGATATTAATTTGAGCATCGCCGTGTATGGTATACTGGTGACAGCTGAAGCCACATGGGTGAATGAGGTCACCAACCATGAATGGGGCTCAACTGAGAATCTAGGAATCCCAGGGTAAAGTTGAGAATAGACAGAGACAGAGAAAGAACAGAGAAGAGGAAGAGAAACAGGAGAGATGTCCTATGAGTCTAAGAAAGTACATATTTCAAAAAACATGTGTAGTATGGTGCCAAATGATCATTAAAAGGTCAGCTGGTATGAAGACTGTAAACAGGCTATTGGATTTGGAAACAGGGTAGTCACTGATTAACTTTCATTGGAGTGGGGAGTGGATAAAGGATAAATTGGGATGAAGAGTGTATGGAAAATGTGAAAGAAGAGACAGTGAGTACAGGTCACTGCTCAAAAAGTCTGGCAATAAAGAGAAGGGAGTGAGATATGTTAGCAGTTTGACAAGTAGGTTGGAAGAAATATGCACATTTTGTGCATTATCTGTTTTGTATGACTTGTGTCTAGAGATTTTGAGAACAAGGACTGCCTTTAGTACTCTTATAGCATCTACCAGCTTATATAATAAAAACAATAGCACTACTAAATATTTATTTAGAATGCAAAATATAATACCTCGTACAGGTCGCTAAATTATATTCCTAGGATAAAAGAAAGAGCACTAGACTAAATCAATTAGTCATAAAATGCAAATCATTTACCTGCATGGGGTGACTGTTAAAAAGAGGCCATGCCCTGTTATGCAATTTGACAGGCTCTGTGAGCAACACTGGGGATGTTGTAAGATGTTACCTTAGTTCCTTCACCCTGGGCTGCACAAGGACATACTCACCTCCATAGTAGAGTCCTGTAGCAGTGCACATCCGCCACTGTCCCTGATACATTCCTGCTCTGCTGGGGCTGCACATCTGGACGCTGACATCTGCAATCTCTTGGGGCTCTAGCGATCTCACCATCACCATGTTCACATGTCCAAATTGGTCTCCCCCGACATATTTAAGACAAACCCCTGGAGGCCAGGCCTCTGCCCCTGAGTTCAAGCAAAAGAAAAAAATGTTAGGCAATCAATGGTCCTATGCCGGGTGCAGTTTATTATGAAACTGTAGAAGAGGCCTCTTTCTTTTTCTCACATACATACGTAAACCTAACCACATACACCTGAGCCATATATTGTCTCACACAACTGATCAAAAGGAATTATCAGAACCAACAACCTCTGACCAATAATCTAACCCTATGAAGAAGCACATAAGGCAAAAGCAAGGCAGTTCCTCAAGACAATGAGTGTTTCAGGTGACTCCAGGGAAGGCCACACATCACACTGAATCTGTAGAACCTAAGAATGATGTCCATGAAGAGCCATGGAGATGAAACACAGGCCCATGTTTAGGGGACAGCTCTCTCTACTAAAAGGTAACATACGTCCATTTTCACAGTATATCTGATTGTTGCCAGTTTTTCCACAGAAACAAGAGGATGAAGCACACAAGGAGTAATTTCAATGGTATTATTCTCAACTTAAAATTGCTTTTTGCCTGAAGTATGACTTTTCTTCTGGGGTCCATAACTATAAAATTCTCAAGAGCTCAAGAGATCACATGAATATAAAAGGCAGTAAAAGTTTAGACCTCAGGTGGTGATGAAAATATAAATAATGGGGTGATCTCCCCTGATAACATCAATGAACTGTGGTTGCAAGAACAATGGCACCAGCTGGAGGTACTTGCGGAAAGGATAGGAAGGAGGGTCAATCAGACGTGTCAAAGGGAGATTTTTACAGAGTTACAGGTTAAATCAAACACGATTTAACCTGTAACTCTCATAAAGAGTCGCCCAGGCTGAAGTACAATGGCGCGATCTCTGGCTCACTGCAACCTCCGCCTCCCAGGTTCACGCGATTCTCCTGCTTCAGCCTCCTGAGTAGCTGGGATTACAGGCACACACCACCACGCCTGGCTAATTATTGTATTTTTACAAGAGACGGGGTTTTACCATGTTGGCCAGGCTGGTCTCGAACTGCTGACCTCATGATCCGCCCGCCTCGGCCTCCCAAAGTGCTAGGATTACAGGTGTTAGCCATCGCACCTGGCCTAATCTTTGTATTTTTAGTAGAGATGGGGATTCACCATGTTGGCCAGGCTGATCATGAACTCCTGACCTCAGGTGATCTGCCCGCCTCGGCCTCCCAAAGCGCTGGAATTACAGGCATGAGCCATGATGCCCGGCCAGTACCCACTCTTGTGTACCTATTTTCATGTAACTAATTCATGAGAAATCCATGTGTTGACAAGTTCCCACTAGTCAAGCAGTATAGGCAGTCACACAGTGACTAGATGTGATCTTTCCTGTGAAGTCTCTCCAATATGCAGCAATTGATAAACTCCTTTCTAACTGTAGACAGAAACCTCTATATATCTTTTTTTGGAATATATACATTCATTATAAAAATATACCACTGTGAAAAGTTGAACATGGCAGGACTCTCAGAACAGAGGGTGCTTGTCATTTATCTCCTATCAGTACTCTAAGATGCCTCAGCTCCTTGCTCTCTAAGTGCCCAGTTCTGACATACCTGATGGCTCACTACTGGAAAGAAACCAGACAGAGAAAGGAAACCAGAGTTCCATTCCTGAAATCTCAGCTCCATTATGAATGGCACCCTCTGTGCTCCTTGGGTCTTAAGGGGTAGCAGCTAAAGCAGTGGCCACTATGTTTTAGCATACCTTCTTTTTAAAAAATTTGCCAACAAAATGTCCTAAGTTAACCCTATAAAGGGCAACCATTGCTGGTGGAAAGGTTGTGGATGACACACTGACAATACATGCAATTTATCTTCTTCATTTCTGAGGTCTGGCAAAAGCCTATTTGTCTTACAACAAGCAGAATAGTAGCTGACATGAAGCACCTTACAAAATGTCAGTCTCTTTAAAGACCAAAATCCAAGAGAAAAACTATACTACTATCATGGGGCTAAATCCACAGTTATTCTTTAAGATACACACATACACACACATACACACACACATATACCTGCAGCAAGATAATGTCTGTTTTTATGAAAACCCAAAAATATGTCTGTTTTTTGAACTTATAAGAAAATAAGGTAAACCAAGACCGGGTGTGAAAAAGACTTAGCTCTCCTAGGTACAACCACAAGCAGCTGAGATGATTGGGTCATCTTAGCTGTGCAAAAGGAGTGCTGCTATATTCCAGAGAAACTGAGTTAGTCGGTAAAACATTAAGTCGGTAACATTAAACACTGGCATTTGGCTAGGGTCCTGCCCTTCTTGGTACTCCAGATACCTATCAGTTCTCAGTGGAGTATTTAAAGAGCCTCTGGGAAAAAAACTGGAAGAATTATCCACCAACAACTCTGAAGTGTTCATTGGCTATGAAGTGAAAAACCAATCATCTGCCTTCTGAGCATGATCAATGATACATATAGTTCTTATAGTCACAACTGTTAGGTCAAGTAACTCTGAAAAGGTCAAAGATATTGATGTTTGATACAGAAGGAAGGGAAATACAGTGAGTTGTCTGGACTACACTAAGCATACCTGAAATCTGAATTTGAGAAGTATAATAGAACTGGGCTCCAAATTAAGTCTCAGTTGCAAACTGGATTAATGGGGGATAGATTTCTATCTAGAAGAAAAGAAAAACTAATCCATGTTTTATGACATTCCTAGTTAAGTATCACAATCAAGTATATAATTAAGGCTGTAATTCTCCAGATATGAAATATCACTTTATTTTTTAAAATAAAGTAAAAACAAAACAAAACAAAAAACCTGTCATGTTACAATTTTGAGATGATAGCAAGCATCACAAAAATCAAAAGTCCAACAGTCCCAGAAATCCTGGGACTTAGTAAGTATATACAATTATAGAAATAGTCTGGAGACAGTAAGGAATATCCAAATAGCAATGCAGAAGACAAACCTTAATGATGATCTCCTTTTTAACCCTTATAAGTGTGGACACTGCATTTCATATTAAGCTCCATGAAAGCAGAAACCTTCATCAATCTTGTGACCATTTCTCCCTTGTACCTAATAAAGTGACTGGAACATAATAAAATGTGTTGAATGAAAGAAGCAAAATTATCTTCTCTAGAATCATACTGAAGAGAAAGGCAGAAAGCTAACTATTTTAATGCACTAAAAGAAAAATGGAGGAAATAATTGTTCTTTCTCAAGTTCTTTTCCCATCCCTTTAATTCACTTCTATGAAGTTCAAAAAATAATGACAACTCTGGATCTATATGCCCAAGATACCCTCTCATATGACAATCACAAAAATTTCACCAGTCAGAGAAACAGTAGGGCTATCGTAACATGCTCGGCTTAATACTCACTACAATTGTACAACAGAGCACTGAGAAGCTCTAGGTGCTGGTAAAGAGAATTCTGTCTACTCATATTTTTAGAGGGACAGTTTCAAATTTTCATTTTAACTCCCAAGTTTCCTGCTCAGGTTTACTAAGCTTCCAACGCTTCCACAGTGACAGAAGTCTGAATCCTAGAATTCTGCATCTATGTTATTAAATGTCTCCGTTCTGTTTTTGCAAATCTAATAAAGGACTTAAAAAATATTAGGAGTTTAAGTTTATTTATTTCTATTTATTTATTTATTATTTATTTATGAGACGGAGTCTCACTCTGCCACCCAGGCAGGAGTGCAGCAGCGCAGTCTCAGCTCACTGCAACACCGCCTCCCAGGTTCATGCAAGTCTCCTGCCTCAGCCTCCCGAATAGGCGGGATTATAGGCACCTGCCACCATGCCTGGCTAATTTTTTTGTAGTTTTAGTAGAGATGGGGTTTCACCATGTTGGACAGGCTGGTCTTGAACTCCTGACCTCAGGTGATCCACCCGCCTCAGCCTCCCAAAGCAGTGGGATTACAGGGTTGAGCCACCACGCCTGGCCAGGAATTTAATTTTAAACAGCGTGTGACGTTTGCCTTCTTTGGGGAAAGCTATTGGGACAACTGTATGAAGTTCCTATCAGTCTCATCTGTGGTATATTTGAATGCCCAGCACGCCTAAAACATGACAAGACAGAAGTGCATGAAAATTATTATTTATGTAGCTCTTTCAGTGAGTGCTTACTTCTTAGGGAGGTTATGAATGAGAGTAAGACAGCCAGAGGAAAAACTGCCAGGGCCTGCCCTACTTCTATGTTACTACTCTATTTACAGAAAGAACTCAGGCCAGATTAGGATGACACCAAAGAACCTGTGCACATGCATGTTCTTCCTCTCTCAAATAATATGCCTGATACTCAGTTATGGGTGGCCAGATTCTCCTTAACCAAATGGAAAACATCCAATTTACAGATATAAAACTACTCTACAGCTGGGTGGACAACTTCCAGAAGAAGAGAAAACCTATTTATTCAAAGCACCTTGAAAGATAAAATCTCTAGCAATTGCTACCTCACCTTTCAAGATCTGTTCAGGCACAAGAATGCCCTTTCACACAAGGAAAGAGATTCAGAGGCTGTTTTAAACTGAGGTTACAAAGCAAATGCAGAGGGGAAAAGCAGTCAGGCCCACCAATAGAGATTTTTGTAAGTCAACATGAAAGGTAGGCTTTGGGGGTTCTGATTTGACATTCTAACTACTGCATATCAACCTCCCCAAGCTCCCCATTAGCCCAAGTAACAGTCTAGTAAGTAAGCAGATATATCAAGAGGCTTTCTGAAATATAAAATGGTCAGTCTGCCACAAGATGGTATTTAAAACATTTCAACAGTACTCTAACAACTTTCAGTATTTAAAAACACTGAAGAGCTCACAGAAAGCCAGGCCATTTTCACTGTTTTCACTATCAGTAAACAAGGTACTGGCTTTACTTTAAAATAAACAAATAAAACTTGAATAAGTCACACTTTCCAAACAAAGCTCATTTATTTTAAAAAAAAAAAAAAAAATATATATATATATATATATATAGACTCCAAAAAACTTTTTTTTTTTTTTTTTTTTTTTTTTTGAGATGGAGTCTGGCTCTGTTGCCCAGGCTGGAGGGCAGTGGTGCAATCTTGGCTCACTACAACCTCTGCCTCCTGGGTTCAAGTGATTCTTAAGCCTCAGCCTCCTGAGTAGCTGGAACTACAGGCGTGCAACACCATGCCCAGCTAATTTTTTGAATTTTTAGTAGGTGGGGTTTTGCCATGTTGGCCAGGCTGGTCTTGAACTCTTGACTTCAAGTGATCTGCTCACCTTGGCCTCCCAAAGTGCTGGGATTACAGGTGTGAGACACTGCACCCAGCCTCTGAAAGCATTTTTGATCAGTAACACAGCAGGTTTTAAATTCAGAATAAAAACATGACAAATAAAAGTTATTATAAAATGAAGAAATTGTCTTGATATTTTTTAAAAGCAGGCAAAATTAAGCAAGGTGAGAAAGAAATTACGCAAAGTATAGTAGACTTTGAACAAGTAAGAATTTCAAGAAAAATAGAAAATATGACTATCTTCCTCTGTTACCATGTACCTCCCAAACTAACAGTGCACCACTGTTATAACTAAAAAGGAAAGGGGCGAATGAAATTTTACAAAGCCACAGGTGTCCTGAGTCATCCACAACATTGCGTCAGTTCAAACTATGTGTTTGGTCAATGACACACTGAACTTTCCTCCAAAGGAGAGTTACTTCTAAATATGCCAGAAAAACTAAGAATAACAATTCAATTTGGTACATTCTTACATAAAAAGCTGGTCTAGCCAGTCTTTCTCCATCATAAAGAACTGAATTGTAAAGAACTGAAAAGTAAACCAAATCAATAAAAGGTCACTTTTATAGCTTTATTTGAGTCCCCAGAGTTTTAAATCATCTCACATCAAATTAACTTGCTAGACAGGGCACCCCCACAACCACATATTTTTAGCTAAATACTCTCTTTTGCCTAGTTTTCCACCTCTCGGAATTTCTCTGAAGTACTCATTAATAATAAGAAAGTTAAAACACCCTCCATCAGTCAACATAAATTGTCATTAGTTGTGACGAGAAATACTAAACCCAACGCCTGCCCCCAAAAGTCATTAGAAAATAATTTAAGGCCAGGTGCAGTGGCTCATGCCTGTAATCCCAGCATTTTAGGAGGCCAAGGTGGGAGGATAGCGTGAGCCCAGGAGTTTGAGAATGGCCTGAGCAACACAATGAAACCTTATTTCTACAAAAACTTTAAAAAATTAGCCAGGCATGGTGCGGTGGCTCCTATCTGTAATCAAAACTACTCACGAGGCCAAGGCAAGAGGATCACTTGAGCCCAGGAGGCCAAGATTGCGCCACTGCACTCCCAGCCTGGGTGACAAGAGTGAGACCTTGAAGAAAAGAAAGAAGAGAAGAGAAAAGAAAAGAAAAGAAAAGAAAAAAGAAAAGAAAAGAAAAGAAAAGAAAAGAAAAAGAAAGAAAGAAAGAAAGAAAGAAAGAAAGAAAGAAAGAAGGAAGAAGGAAGGAAGGAAGGAAGGAAGGGAGGAAGGAAGGGAAGGAAGGAAGGAGGGAGAGAGGAAGGAAGGAAGGAAGGAAGGAAGGAAGGAAGGAAGGAAGGAAGGAAGGAAGGAGGGGGGGAGAGAGAGAGGAAGGAAAGGAAAGGAAAAGAAAGGAAAGGGAAAGGGAAGGAAAGATTTAGACACAGAGACACTATTTTCAAAGAACTATGGTTAACTTATTTATGTATTTATTTTTATTTATTTAATGTTTTTTTGAGACAGAGTCTCACTCTGTCACCCAGCCTGGAGTGCAGTGGCATGATTTCAGCTCACTGCAACCTCTACCTCCTGGGTTCAAGCAATTCTCCTGCCTCAGCCTCCCAAGTAGCTGGGATTAAAGGTGCCCAACACCATACCTGGCTGATTTTTGTATTTTTAGAATGGGTTTCATCATGTTGGCCAAACTGGTCTCCAACTCCTGACCTCAGGTGATCCTTCCACCTCAGTCTCCCAAAGCTGGGATTACAGGCATGAGCCACTATGCCCAGCCTATGGTTAGCTTATTTCTAGTGTGTCTTAAAAGAGGCTGCAGCACATCAAAACAATGTTTTTCTTGTATTTTTTTCTTTTTTCTTTTTCTTGTTTGTAGAGACAGGATCTCACTACATTGTCAAAGCTGGTCTTAAACTCCTAGGCTCAAGTGATCCTCCTGTCCTGCCTTGACCTGTAAAAGTGCTGGGAGGCCATGTGCAATGTACACATATGTAATCTCAGCTATCCAAGTGAGAGGATAGCTTGAGCCCAAGAGTTCGAGATCAGCCTGGGCAACACAGGAAGACTCCATCTCTACAATTAAAAAATTAGCTGGGCACAGTAGTGCATGCCTGTGGTCCCAGCTACTCGGGAGAGGCTGAGGCAGGAGGATTGCCTGAGCCCAGGAGGTCAAGGCTACAATGAGCCATGATCACAACACTGCACTTCAGCCTGGGCAACAGAGCGAGCTGCTGTCTCAAAAAAAAAAAAAAAAAAAAAAAAAAAGGGCTTGGATTCTGTGTGTGAATCACCACACCCAACCTGTATTTTTTTTTTTAACCAAAAATTTCTCTGTCTCCCATTTTGAGCAAATTCCCGTATTTCCTACCCTATTTTTCAAAGTGGTATTAATGTCTCAGATAACCTAATGAAATTTCAGAGACAATCATCCTTCTGGTTGCAAAAAAAAAAAAAGAGCTTTCAGAAGAGCAGATGCTCACAGCTCTTTCCAACTACCTTGTTCTATTCAAGGATATACCTCCTCTAGCCTGCTGGAAATGACTGGAAGATTAATTAGAGCAGAAATAAAGTGATGAAGTAAAACTGTACAGGTGGAGACAATACTCCATCATATACAAGTCTAGTTCCTAGTAACAAAACCAATATTGGATTGTGTTTAGATCCCATTAAGTTATAGGTGGCTTAGAAGCATGAGACAAATTCTTCTTCCTACTTTAGAGCAGGAGACAGTTCACTAATGTTTTGGTCATCACACCAGTGCAAGAAAATGCTACATATCATGTGTAAGAGAAAGCTCGCAGTTACACAATCACATACACAAGCTAAAACATTTCCTTCTTATTTAACTATTAAGAAAACGAAAACTAAGCAAGGGAGGATTGCCCATTATGTACTTACCAGAATTTTGGATCCGCCATGTTTTTACAAACTGAGTGTCAGGAGGTATTGACTCCCCTTCTCCTATGGTGACATCTTCAACAAAGGACATAGAGGGCACACTGATGTTTGGGCTCTCAAAGTCATAATAGGCGCCAATTGCTGCTTGGAGGTTCCTACAGAAAAAAGAGAAAAGGCAACAGACTTCAGTACCATCCAGACGATATTATCCTGTTAAACAAAAGGAAAAAGCCTGTTTCTTAGGGTTTGTCACAGAACCTGAGGCTCCTGGCATACAAGTCTTTAAAGCCTTGTATTCTGGCTGAGGAACAACAGGAAAACCACCAGGACCAACAAATTTGTGTATCACTTTCTTCCCACATAGAAAGTAACAAACATTAGTACCATCAGCAACAGTATGAGGATATCTCCCTTGTTACCCACAGGAAAACAAGAATGGGTAAAGAAATCAATTAAAAGAGATCTCTATAACTATGGAGTTCAAAGAAGCACAACTTTTTATTTTGTATTATTATTTTTTAATATATTTTTTTAAAAAGAGAGAGGCCGGGCGCGGTGGCTCAAGCCTGTAATCCCAGCACTTTGGGAGGCCGAGATGGGCGGATCACAAGGTCAGGAGATCGAGACCATCCTGGCTATCACGGTGAAACCCCGTCTCTACTAAAAATACAAAAAATTAGCCGGGCGCAGTGGTGGGCTCCTGTAGTCCCAGCTACTCGGGAGGCTGAGGCAGGAGAATGGCGTGAACCCGGGAGGCGGAGCTTGCAGTGAGCTGAGATCCGGCCACTGCACTCCAGCCTGGGCGGCAGAGCGAGACTCCTTCTCAAAAAAAAAAAAATAAAAATAAAAAGAGAGAGAGAGGGGCAGGGTTTCGCCATGTTGCCCAGGTTAGCCTTGAACTCCCGAGCTCAAGCGATCCATCCATCTCAGCCTCCCAAAGCGCTAGGATTACAGGTATGAGTCACTGAGCTCAGCCAGAAGCTCCACTTTTTAAAATAAAGTAATATGTGCACATAATTTGAAGTTTCATACAAAGAAAACCATGTTCTCTTTTTTCCCCAATACACACACACACACACACAGACATAACTGTTCGTATTACTTTCTTAAATATCCTTCCAAAACTTTCTTACATTCAAGCAAACATCATATACAATCTTATTTTCCTTCTTTTTTATACAAATGGTAGCATAATATACAATGCCTTTTGCTTTATTCTCTTAATGCTGTATCTTGGAAACATCTCTGTTAGTACATAAAGAGCATCCTCATTGTTTTTTACAGCTGTAACCACTATACAGATGGATCATCATTTAACCAGTCGACTTTTGAGTTTGTTTCCAGTCATTAACTCTTTCATAAATATGTTTAAGCACACATAGTTTTGTATACATGCAAGTGTACCTGTGAGATAAATTCCTAGTAAGTGATACTGCTGTGACAGAGTTTGTGGTTTTAATAAATATATCCAAACTTCCCTCAATGAAAGTTATACACTAATGATCCCACCAAGAATATAGGAGTGTGCCTATTTTCCCCACTTGCTCATCAGTGCTGTTTCTCTAACATTTTGGATTTCTCTCATCTAATAGGTTAAAAAAATATATATCTCAGTGAGATTTTGAGAGGCTGAGTATCTTTTTACAGGTTTAAGAGCCATTTGTAAAGGCTGGGCTCAGTAGCTCACACCTGTAATGCCAGCACTTTGGGAGGCCAAGGTGGGCGGATCATGGGGTCAGGAGTTCAAGATCAGCCTGGCCAACATAGTGAAACCCTGTCTCTACTAAACAAAGTACAAAAAATTAGCCAGGCATGGTGGCAGGCTACTTGGGAGGCTGATCTTGAAAAAGTAGCTGGGTAATCCCAGCTACTTGGGAGGCTGAGGCAGGAGAATCGCTTGAACCTGGGAGGTGGAGGTTGCAGTAAGCTGAGATAGCGCCATTGCACTCCAGCCCAGGCAACAGTGCCAGACTCCGTCTCATAAAGAACAAAAAAAAAAGAGCCATTTGTAGTTTCTTTTTCGGAAGTATCATTTTGTAAATGTTGGTGTTCTTTTTAATTACTCACAAATCCCCTTTCAACAGAAGGAACTACCAAGTACATAAGCCAGAGTTCGCAATTGAGCAGAAGCGCGTGACTGTCAGTTTGGTTATCAGTGCCAGAAACCAAGGACCACTAAAGGGTTTCAGTAAGCTGTGTTCATTACAGAGATCAAGGAAATTGTTAGTAATTACATTAACTGCCTCTCTTCTGGTCTTACTCAAACCAATGACATCATCTCCACTTCCCACACTATACAACAATCCAAACTGCATGTTTCTAAACATAATTCAACCATAAACTGACGAATCCACTGAGCTGTTTTTAATTATACATAAACATAGCATGAAACAAGCTCTGACAGTACACAACTGATCAACAGAAATGCTAATAGCAGCAAATAATTTTTTGCTGGGGGCCTGCCTGCTCCTCCAGGTGCTTGCAACTGCCAGAAAGGAAGGCTATATTTAGAGCAGGTACCTGAGGTCAAGCCGCATGCAATGGTGGCCTGTCATATTAGTCAGTAATGACTGAAATTACAATACCAATGGCCTGCCTATGATACATGTGCTTGATAATAGTTACATAAAGAGAGCTTCGCTGGGGCCAAACTGCACCTGTTTGCTTGACTAGCCAATACAAAGCTTGGACTTTAGTCTTCTCAGCAGTTTCCTATCTAGCTGACAGTGATCTAAAGTGAAGGATGTTTGTGACTGGCCAAACTTGGGGAAATCCAGCCCCTACCATCCACAAACAGGCTTAGAAATACATCTGGAATTAGCATTACACTTAGGGATCAGGGAGAATATGGGAGAAAAATAAGCCTGGTTTGCAATTTGCTCTTTTGAAAACATTTTGGAAAAGCTGTATGTCTACCTTTTTGAAAAGAGAATTTTTTTGCAGCAGGTCTTCAGTAAGTAGCCTGCTGAATTGTTTTCTGTTCACTTGGCTGCCAAATGTGTTTTGGAGGGAAGAAACTATTTGTGCACTTAGGACAATTGCCAATTCTCATCCCCAGGCTGTGTCATATTTCAACCTTTGGCTCTGCCATCAGGACAGGACTTCAAGACCACTGCAGTAGGAACACTAGTAAATGGGAAAGTCAAGCTACCCAACTCAGGCAGATCCATTCCTATCCTCAAATCTCCTTTTACATTTCCAACTTATCCCACAGTCAAAGCTTATTTGTATGTGTATTACACAGGTAATTCAGCCAAAGAAAGATTAAGAACCATTTTTAAATCCCAAACTGAAACTGAAAGCAGCGAACTGGAATCCTGGCAGGAAGGTGGAGAGGAGGATGACAAAGCAAATTCATTTCCCAAGTACAAGGCAGAAAGTGGACTTTAGCCCAAGTGAGCTAACCCATAAAGCAGGTACACAGTCACAAATTTGGGGTACACAGCTTCTCAGAGTTCAGAGCATTTAAATTATTGGCCCACTAGGCTGAGCAACAGCAGGCATAAGATCAAACAGCTCCAATTCAGTGTCAGAGAGTAGACATGATAGCAGGTATTCTTGTTCAAAACAACATACTCAGCTATTATTAGCCAACAAGAAATTCTTCATGAAATGGAGCTGGCTGAGGTGATGCGAAAGGGAAAACATTGACCCAGCATTTGGTGCAGTCTAAAAGTTTAAACCTCCAGATTCCTTCAGTGTTTCTTTTCAAAAAAGTTTTAAATCTAATTTCAGATGGTTAAAAGTACCCTGAAGAACAAACGGAGGCAATGTAACAGTGAAAAAAAGCACAGATTAAGATGGATGCTGGTGCCGGATGCGGTGGCTCACGCCTGTAATCCCAACACTTTGGGAGGCAGAGGCAGGCAGATCACTTGAGGGCAGGAGTTCGAGACCAGCCTGGCCAACATGGTGAAACCTCATCTCTACAAAAAATACAAAAATTAGCTGGGCGTAGTGCATGCCTGTAATGAGCTACTTGGGAGGATGAGATAGGAGAATTGCTTGAACCCAGGAGGCGGAGGTTGCAATGAGCCGAAATTGTGCCACTGCACTCACTCCGACCTGGGCAACAGAGTGAGACTCTGTCTCAAAAAAAAAAAAAAAAAAAAAGGTGGATGATGGTAATAGTGGCACACTGCCAATATAGTTAATGCCACAGAACTGTATACTTAAAATGGTAAATTTAATGTCATGCAGATTTTACCACAATTAAATAATTTTTATTTTTAAAAATTTTTTTAAGAGTATGGTCTTTTGGCTGGGCACAGTGGTTCACACCTATAATCCCAGCACTTAGGGAGGCCGAGGCGGGCAGATGGCCTGAGGTCAGCAGTTCAAGACCAGCTTGTCTGTACTAAAAATACAAAAATTAGCTGGGCATGGTGGTGGGTGCCTGTAATCCCAGCTACTCGGGAGGCTGAGGCAGGAGAATCGCTTGAACCTCGGGAGGCAGAGTTTGCAGTGATCTGAGATTGCGCCACTGCACTCCAACCTGGGCAACAGGGCGAGACTCCATCTCAAGAAAAAAAAGACTGATCTTTAGAGTCAGCTCCAACTCTTGGCTGTGGGGCTTTGAACAAGCAGCTAAGCCTCTCTTCATCAGTTTTACTCATCTGCAAAACTGAGTTGAGCCGGGCGCGGTGGCTCAAGCCTGTAATCCCAGCACTTTGGGAGGCTGAGACGGGCGGATCACGAGGTCAGGAGATCGAGACCATCCTGGCGAACACGGTGAAACCCTGTCTCTACTAAAAAACACAAAAAACTAGCCTGGAGAGGTGGCGGGTGTCTGTAGTCCCAGCTACTCGGGAGGCTGAGGCAGGAGAATGGCGTAAACCCAGGAGGCGGAGCTTGCAGTGAGCTGAGATCCGGCCACTGCACTCCAGCCTGGGCGACAGAGCAAGACTCCGTCTCAAAAACAAAAACAAAAACAAAAACAAAACCCAAAAAAACACTGAGTTGATACTACCTATCTTATTATAATGTTGGCTGTGAAGATTGCAGAGGCAATGTATGCAAATGTCCTGGTTGGCAGTCATTCATTCAACAAATATTTAATGAATGAGCATTTACCCTTGTGCTAGGCACCTGGCCTGTAGCATTAGGGATACAGCAAATTACAAGACAGGTATGGTCCCTGCCTTCAGTGTTTATA